GAAAAACAGGATGACTCACATGAATACAAATAGTAATCATCCATCTATGAAGGTTGTGTTCTTGGCCTTTTGTTACCTACAACCGGTTGATTAGGTATATTATTTTCCATAGATATTTCATTATTTACAAGGTTAGGTTCATTCACAATATCAGGGTCATTAGTGGGAACAACACTATAATAATCATCATCTATTACAGTTAGAGGTTTTGTTTCCTCTTGAACTTGTTCCTCTTCCTCTAGATTCTCTAGAAATGTAGTATTTCTGCTTTCAATGACTCCTTTTTCTTTATTATAGAACTTATAACCTTTTGACTTTTCTGAATATCCTATGAATCTACACTTTATTGTTTTAAAATCCAACTTATCTCTAAGTTGACATGGAATGAGAACATGGGCTATAGATCCCCACTTCCTGAGATGACTCAAATTAGGTTTCCTCCCATTCCATAATTCATAAGGTGTAGATACAACTAATTTGGTGGGAATTCTATTTAAAATGTAGTTTGTAGTTAATAATGCTTCTCCCCAAAAAGTTTTAGAGAGACCAGAGTGAGACAACATACATCTAACTATATTTAATAATGTTCTGTTCTTTCTTTCAGCAACACCATTCTGTTGTGACGTATACAACATTATTGTATGCCTTTTAATTCCATGCTGAATACAATAACTTTCAAATTCTTTAGAATTATATTCTCCACCTCTATCAGTTCTCAAAATTTTGATTTTCAATCCAAGTTGGTTTTCAACTTCTGTCTTATATCTCTTAAAGCAGTCAAAAGATTCTAATTTTTTGGATATAAGATAGACGTGTGCAAACTTGGAATAATCATCTATAAAAGTAATAAAATATTCTTTATTACTATGAGTTTTGACACTTAGGGGACCACAAATATCCGAGTGTATCAACCCTAAAAGTTTATTGGCTCTATGTCCGCCAACAAAAGGTTTTCTAGTCATTTTACCAGTTAAACATTGTTCACATGGTGACAATTGAACATTAGATAGTGCAAGAAGCAAGTTCATTCTGATAATTTCTTTCATTTTTGAAATACTAGCATGTCCTAATCTAGAATGCCACAATTCAGATTCAAAAATATAACAAGACAAGTAGTTCAAATTCGAACTTTTATTATCAGAATTATTACAAACTACTGGAAGAATGCATAATTCATGCTCGGACACATATTTACCCATAGCATACACTTTATTATTCTTGCCTATAGAAACCCTGTTATTATAGAACCTAACTTCCAGTCCTTTCTTCATCAAGCTGGGAACAGAGATCAGATTGCGTCGAATTCCTGATGCATAGAACACATCTTTGAGGACAAGAATGCTGTCCCCAAGATCCAATCTATACGAACCAATACCTTCTACATCGAGATAGGTATTATTTCCCATATAGATTCTCTGTTCTCCTTTCTTCAGCTCGGTGAATTCTACGACTCCATTCTTGTCCTTTGCGATATGCCTAGTCGCACCGGAGTCGATCCACTAACCACTGATATCCGTCATCACAGCATTACATTCCGTCACACCGACAAATTTTCTTTTGCTAGTACCCCCTTGTTCTGGATGCTTATAGCCTCCCTTATTCTCCTGCTTTTCACCTTGTGGGCAATTGGGTTTGAAATGCCCGAACTTTCCACAATTGTAGCAGGCTCCGCGGGGTACTTTCTTTCTCTTGAACTGCTGCGATTTCGATCCCCGTGGTTGTGGTTTACTAGAACCAGAGTTTTTATAGCTTCCAGCATTATGCCTCTGGCGGACATAATTCAGCTCTTGCTGTACCATATTCAGTTCTGGTTCCTTCCTACTGACTATTTAGTCCTGTTCTATCGCTAGGTGCATAGGAAGATCAGTGACAGACTTAATGGTAAGATTCATTCTTAATGTGGTGGCAGCCACAGCAAGTGAAGGGGGAAGACTATTTAGAATGATTGCCACTTGCATTCTTTCCGGGATTTCGGTCCCAGCAGTGGATAAGTCCTTAACCATGACAATCATTTTATTTATATGTTCTACGATATTGTCTCCCTCTTGCATACGACAAGAATTATACTTATGCAAGAGGAGTTGAATGTTAACTTCAGAAGCAGTGTCGTATTTTTCTTTTATTGCATTCCACATGTCCATGGAAGTTTTATAAGTTTCAAAAACTTTGATTAAATTATCTTCTATGAACATGAGCATAAGACTTTTCGCCTTTTTGTCTTTCGACTTCCACTACTCAAACCCTTTCTTTTCTTTAGGTGTTGATTTATCAGTAAGGATTGGAGCAGTGGTTTCGATTACATCATCAATGTTGTTATGAATAAGAGCATATCCTATTTTTCTATGCCACATATCATAATTACTGTCATTAAATTTGTCAATTTTCCCTAGTTCTGATAGAACGAGTTTACTAGCCATTCGGTAGAGAACTAAAACTAAATTCAATTTTAAATATTTGTATAAGGTTGATATTTTAACAATTATACTAAAAATAAAGTTAGATAAAAATAAATAAATAAATAAATAAAAATAAACCTGATTGTTCCGAGTTGATGAAAGAGGCTCCAATTTGAGCAAGATTGTCACTTAGTGGTGTTGATTGTATAAGCACTTGTCTGACTGAATTTTGAAGAAGATCCACCGTGTGAAGAATCTGATACTTCTACTTATATAATACTCCTCACGCTCGATCTAAGAGTTCAAACCCAACAGGCCCAAATACAAGGCCCAAGTTTTTTTTATTAAAACAGAGAAGAGGTTAGCAGGGAGTATATAACTTAGCTTGTCGTGGATATTTGATCACCAGGCCCAAACACAAAAGGCCCAACTACTTCTCTCCTTGATTGCTCTGTAAAAAAAAATCCCGATCTCAAGCTAGGGTTGAGGACCGAAAAAAGTGCAAGGGGCGGCAGAACTATCTTTCTTCCTCGATCTAAATCAAAGAGCTCGCCGAGGATGGAGACTCCGGCGTCGTGGTCAATCGTCGTCGCGGCTCAGATGCGAATTGGCGGACAAGCTCGTCGTCGCTGTCGTCGATCGCAACAGCAGAATCGTCGTCGTCGTCGTCGTCGCAGCAGAGTCGTCGAGGAGGCTGATTGACGCAGAGCTCGAGAGGGCGGCGTTGAGATCGACGCTGCTCTGATACCAGTATTCGAACTCAGAGAAGAAGAGGATTGCTTTGAGGGGGCTCCGATAATGGGTAAGGGTTTTCTTTCTGCTTTTGTTGCGTTTTCTGAAGGAGATCGATCCTCCTTTTTTAGAGGCTAACCCCACTATCTTCACCCCCCTCAAATCCGTCCCTTGAGAGATATTCTCTCAACAGAACCCATTTTCTTTCCACGTTCTTCTCAAACGAACGTTGATTTGGTCATCTATGACCAGGTCAAGCTAACATTTACCATATCTGTATCCGCTTACTCATCACGAATGCGGGTGCGAATATGCGTACGTTTGTACGAGGACAATTCATATTCGTACTCGTTAAAATTGAACACAAGAAGATAGATCCAGGTACATATCAGACACGCAAGAAACTGATGAAACTCCAAAAGTATATATACATGCTATATGATACAAGTGTTGTCTGAGTAAAAGAGAATTGCTCGAATTATAACTCACCAATGCTTTAGATTCTTGGATCACGGAAATCGTTCCAGATCCACTAATTTTAGGTGGGAGGAGTTTTAAGTGTGTCTGGTCAACAGATGTATCTCAATACCCTCATTCGAATTTGGATATTCACCCATACCCATACTCATATAAGAAATGATAGAGGCACACCCTCTACCACACCTCCAACCACACCCCCCTCTCCCATTTGCTACAGTACCACGGGCCCCACATGGGATTTTAAAATTTTAAAATCCCATGTGGGGCCTGTGGTACTGTAGCAAATGGGAGAGGGGGGTGTGGATGGAGGTGTGGTAGAGGGTGTGCCTCTAACACCACTCTACTCATATATGTATCCCATAAAGAAAGGTAAAGCAATCTCAATATCCATATCTGCCCAGATATGGAGGTTTAATACCCTGCCTGATACGTATACGGATATTTTTTGTAGCTTATTACTATCTGTATATGTATTCAGAGTATGCCGGCTACGCGCACTTGCCAAGCTTTGCGTTTCTTATCCAATCCAAACATCATAAGCTCTAGAATCTGATACTTAAACTTGAACCGGTCTGGAACTTAGTAGTTGAAATTGAAACCTGAAAAAATCCATGTCAGTTTGGGATCTTGGTAGCTGGCTTATTGGCTTTTGCCACCTTTTACTCTTATGTTCCTAATGGCGGTGAGAGGGGGTATATTATTGCAAATACTGAAATATGCAAGACGTGCTAACTTGCTAGAGAAATGCATATCATTTTTACAGTGGAAAAAAATTGAGGTTATTTTTGTAGCATACCTGTAATTTAAGACTGTTTGCCTGCTTCAATGTTAATTCTCAGGATGCAGAAACACTTGGAGAGGTATTTTGATGCAATTTTAAGTCTGAGAGGTATCCTGATGTAATTAAAAGCTTTAAAACCAAGCCCATCGATAAAATAAAATCTAATATAACTAGTTCAATTGATTGTCAAGTGATTACCTTGTTGGATTATTTAACCTAGTGTTATTATTAAACCCTAAAGACATGTCCTGTTTTCTTGCATTAAAACAAGCCCATTACTCATTTCTGCATGGCTCATAGCGCCTTATCTCATCCAATTCCACCTCATCCTTTTTGTAATGAGATGGAAATCCTTGCACGATGTTTTACAAAATCATTTTTGGTTCTTTAACCTAAAGCATTATTAGACCCTAAAGACATGTCCTGTTCTCTTGCATAAAACACACCGAATATGCATTCATGCATGATACATAGCACCTTATCTCGTCCAATTGCACATCATCCTTTTCTAATAAGATGGAAATCCTTGCACTGTATTTCATGAGACTAAGCAGCAAAATGTAAGTCTTTTTTCCATGTTATCCTCAATTGTGTTACCTTTTGTGTTGCAGGTGCTGGAGGCTGGTGCTCACTGCTCTAAACACTTTGGATATGAGGCCCCAACACGTGAGATAAATTATTTCATTTATTTATTGTTTATACATAGTTGTGTTATTTCATTATGAATCATGAGATGTTGAAAATTTATCACTTTGAGAAATAAAATTGACAAACCCATGTGCTTCCGTGCACAATCTAGAATTTCATGGCATATCTGCTCTTGTTGGTTCAGCTTCAGTTGTCTAGTCACGTTCTTTCTAAATTAAAGTAATTACTCCTTGAAAAGTGATGGTTATTGTTGAACTTGCAGCTTATATGCCCCACCTGAGCCTCTTATATGGAGATCTAACAGAGGAAGAGAAGGAAAAAGCCCGAAAGCGTGTTGAGGAACTGGACGCAGGGCTCGTTGGTCTAGCATTCAAGGTGTCTTCGATTGGCCTCTTCAAGACTGATACAGAGGACAAGAGCTTGAAATCATGGGAGAAGATAGAGATATGTGATCTTAAGTAGCGTTTACCACTCTCTAACTGTGAGCTTGTGTTTCCTTCTGTGTCAATATCTGTTGCGTTCGCGGTACCGTGTTCTTTTGATTTTGGGATAAATTGGAACTTGCTTTTTGGTCAGAGATGGTAGGAGTTATCTATCTTGTTTGTCATAAGGACTTGGAATAAGCATTTGCTCGTGCAGTTTATCAGTGTAAAGGGTTCTTGTTTATGTATTAAAGGTGTATTTTTATTGTCGGTTCCTCTTTTAATTGCGTGGTTTGTTTCACTACCCTAATATGCGTTTTTTGTTCATTTCACTACGCTAGTATGTGTTTCTTTTGGCGTGAACGTTTTGGAGTAAACTCAGAAACATCTCTTCCCATTAGAATTTGGAATCTTTGGATGTGAATATATGCCAAACTAGAATATGATCAGGCTACTACTCAAAAGACGAGTTTCCAACAATATGCAAGTGTGCACGCATGTATGAAGGTATAAGATGTTGGGAAGGAAATGTGTTTAAATCAATAACATACTAAAATCAGCCAAGCATGCCGATTTCAGAATAAACCAGTGAAACAAAGGTCCAAGAACAACAAATACCCAAAGCAACTCCCAACACCCACACATCTATGTACGACTTAACTTCTCCACCACATCAAACAGTAAAACCGTTGAAATCTTTTCTGGACCAAAGAACTTGACACGGGCGAAGATAACAGAAGTTTGTTCAACATTACAACAACGCAAACAAGTATACAACAGCTCAGGGAAAGCTCGATATACGATCAGGGAGAGTCGCCCAACTCAGCAGTTAATCCGAGTGGATACCAAAAGTGCTAGCAAACCTACAAGGGTTAATTGCGCATAGACCCCTTTAGTATCCTTGTTTTGAACAAACGACGCCTATACTCTCTGTTTTTTAGATAGAGCTCTTGGGTTAACTTTTTTTTTGACTCTTTCACCGAGTGAAATTTTGGCAAATATTGTCCTTGGGTGACATTGGTGAGTCTACAAAGGGTAAAAGAGGCAAATAGTTAACCAGGGGGTCTATCTGTAACAATGAAACTATTTAAAA